TTAGAGAAAGAATGCAAGTGATTTCCTCCACAGACGATAGAGTACACATTCAGGAGCCATTACATTCTAAGTGAGTCAGCCCAGCTCTGTCTTAAATTGGTTTCCCAAGCTGATTTGAGCTCAGAGCCCTTCTGAGATGACGCCCGCAGGCTGGTGCTGCTGTGCCTGCCGTACTGACGTTCTCAACTCCCAGTGTGACAAATGTGACCTTTGAGACTGAGAGACCGATTTGTAGACCACTTTTCTGACAAAGTGAGTTGTCTATCAGTGGCTGAGCCCTTTGAGGTTTACATGAGCAATATGAGACAACTATTTTCTAACACTTACATGTTTGAATATTAATGTTCAGTAGGTTTGAAACCCAATTCTGCATTCTAATAGCAAACTGGTGGTTTGAGTAGATCTCTCTCCATAGTGCTTATTCTTTTATAAGAGGTAAGGTTGAGTTACTCCTCCTGAAATTATGCTAAGTAAGTTTCATGAATTTTACTGAAAATTTTTAAGAAACAGAAGTTGGGGATTTGCAGGCGGCGCCTGAGAACTACCTGGTATGTAAAACCCTCAGCAGGTGACATTTACAAACCCAAGAGGTCACGGGCTATATAGACACTGTGCCAGACACCTTCCTTAAATAGTAAACATACAGTTTCAAAAGCAGCATAAGATTAATCTTTCAATCCTCAATATCAGAATTTTCACACTAAGGTTAAATTTAGTTAGCAAATGACAGTACAACAAAACTGCTCTAAGGCAATTAAATGTTAAAATTGGATGTGTCACTATCAGGGAGTGTGTTTTTACTTCTGGCAGTTGGTCCTTTGGGAGATGCTGTGGATCAGCCCTGGGCTGGAAGTCAGATCTCAGAAGGAAAGCCCTGGAAGCTGAAAAGGGTGTGCGTCAGGAAACTTTAGTAGGCTCTGCTCCTCCACCCAGCCTCCTGACTGCTCTTAGTGTCTGTGTTTTGTTCATAACTGAGCAAATTTATGAAAGAGCTTGATAGTCCTGTTGCAGGCTCTACAAGGTGGGTAGGGCTCAAAGTACGCTGCAGGCCAGGTGGTGAGGGGAGTGGTGGCTTTTCTGCCATGCCTGGACTACCATTTTGGATATTCACAGTTCTTACAAACATAAGAGGGAAGCCCTGGTGCTCGGACTCTATTTTTCAATGCTTGCTGAGTTGTAATGTGGTAATACTTTACTGGAGTAAACTCTGGCTGACCTGCTTGAAGGATATAAACTTGAAAACATTAAGGATTTTGATTTGTTCAAAGGAGGCGTCGATGCTTTTTGAAGGGCAGGTCCAGTGGGAAGATTGGGTTTCTGGTGCTCACCATGTTCAAGTGTGAGCACTGTGCCTTTCAAGTCCAATCTTTGTCTCGAAAGAAATAAAAGTATTCAAGTAAACCAAATCCAAGGTGGGTGGATAAAGGGTGTGGGGAAGCATCATTGCAGAAAAGTGAAACACCAACTCCTGAAAAAGAGACAAAGAAAATTTCTTGTTTGGAAGCCTTAAATCACACAACTTGCCTCCTACACGAGTGGCCTCCTCCTCGCATCTGGACCTTCCGCTTCCCATCCTGTGTCCCCTGAGTTACCACCCCCAGATCCTCCCAGGATCTTCCCAGGCAGAACTGTGTGCAAATCCTGTCTCTTGCTGTTGTGTTTTTTTTTTTTTTTCTGGTACCGGGGATCGAACTCAGGTCCTTGCACTTCCATAGCAGGCGGCGAAACCACTGAGCTAAATTCCCAGCCCCAAATCCTGTCTCTTGCATCCCTGTGAGTCACAGGGAAAAGAGATACTGAGTAAAGATGAGCAAGCAATTTTCTTCTTGATAAAAGAAATGCATCTGAATGTACGGAACCCCAAGCTTATAAATCAATGTGTGTCCCCAACTTTTTGGGGTTTTTTTTTGTACCAGAAATTGAACTCGGGTCCTTGTGCTTTCAAGGCAGGTGGCGGAACCACTGAGCTAAATCTCTGGCCCCAACTTTTTGTTTTTTTGAGACAAAGTCTTGTTGTGCAGTTCAGGCTGGCCTGGAACTGACTCTGTAGCTCAGGCTGGCCTCAAACTCTCGATCCTCCTATCTCAGCCTCCCGTGTGCTGGGATTTCAGGTATGTGCCACCATACCCAGTTTAAAGTCTCATTTTATATGGACTGTCATGAGCCATGAACTCTGAATGTTCACCAAGACATGAACCTATGGGTCACAGGTTGGGTACACTTGCTGGACTTAAGCTATGAACATAATAAAATAGACTGAAAAGTCACTTTCAGTAATGTCAGTGTCATAAATTGTGCGCTACTAAAATTAATAATGTATCAAATGCCTTTCTAACATAGACACAGTTACCTGTGTTCATTGCAAATGACTACTCCGTAATTTACTTATTGTCCTTCCTAGGTTATAAGGAGGCCTAGCAATTGACATCAATTTTTTAAGACTCATTTTTCAGCTGGGTGTGGCAGTGCACAGCTGTAGTAATTCCAGCACTTTGCAGATGGGAGGATCACAAGTTTGAGCCCAGCCTGAGCAATTTAGCAACTTAGTGAGAACCTACTTGCAAATAAAAAATAAAAATAAAAGGCTGGGCTGTGGCTCAGTGCAAAGGCCCTGAGTTTAATCCCTCATGGTGTGCCCTGGCCCCTAAATCATTTTTCTGTCATCCAGTGTACTTTGCAACATATGTGTCAGCATTGCTGAAAGAGCAGAGGGAAGTCTGTGCCTGTGCCATTGAGCCTTCATGTTTAAAGAGGCCCAATGGCTTGAACTAAGGATGCCTTTGGTTAGATTAATAACAAAGAATGACGAGAGTTACAGAAACTCTGTGGAACTCCAAACTCTACAGAACTCTTGTTCCCGAGTAAAGGCACAAGTAGCAAAGATTAGGGCATTGAGATCGAGGTAAGAGGACCATAGTTCTCATGGTTGTTTAGTTTGCCACACTAAGAAGTACATGTCAGCGTTTTATAGATTTAATATCCATCCAGCTACCCTGTAACCCACAAAAATATGTAATTCCTGCTTTTCTCTCCCCAGCTCTTGGCATTATTAATCAAATACAAATCTAATCCGATCCACATCACTAATGATATTTAGTTAAAATCCTCCGCCTGGTTTATTGATGGGCCTTGGGAAGGTACCTCCTCCCTTCTCCTTTTGTCTTTTGGTTTTATTTAAAATTCCCCTCTTTCATATTTTGGTAAGAGAAGACTTAAAGTGGAAATGTAATCTGAGTATTCTATTTAATAAGTAGACTCAGCATGGGTATTTTGAAGCCAACAGTTCCATCTGTAACGTCCATGTTAGAGTACAGTGTTGTTATTTCAGGAGAGATGCATGCCCTTGAAGGACAGATTTGCAGGTGAAATCAATTTAGCACAACTCAAGGCCCCTGGTCTCTTGAACTCACTGGCCCTTCAAGTCTGGTCTGAGCCCGTGGTTTGGCCAATCATTGGCCTGTAAGGATGAAATGATGTCAAACAGAATGCCCCCCCTTGAGATTTCCTTCTCTTTCCTTTCATTGGCTCTGGGCATCAGGTCCTCACGCATGCTAAGCGCATGCTCCATCACCTTCATCACCTCCGTTGCGATGTCCTTGTAGCAGGCAGGGCGGGTATATGGGAGCTACTCCTTACATCATTTTATTACAGTGTGTAGTGACAGGTCCTTGAAAATGTGGTGCCTGTCTTTGTGTCATGGAAAAACCTGGAAGTAGTTACTGGTAAGCCCTGGGCTTCAGGCTGTGGTGCCCTAGCTATGGGCCCAGTGGGGTGACAGTCCTACCCACGGTAATTGCTTTGAGTCTTATTGTGCTTTTCTGTAAAATGGAAATAATGGTACCTGCCTGTGTTGGTTTTAAGCCGAATGTGTACAAACTACAGTGGATCATTGAAAACTTTAGGTTTCTCATGGCTCTTTTTTTTTTTTGGTACTGGGGATCGAACTCAGGTCCTTGCGCTTGCGCAGCATGCGCAGACGGTGAAACCGCTGAGCTAAATCCCCAGCCCTCTCATGGCTCTTGTGCTGTATTTATTTGGCTTAAAACTTTTACCTCTATTCTCAGGATTAAGGAAATGATTAAGATGACATCAGTTGCATACATAGTCCATCCTACAGGCGCTATTCTATTTTAGCCACCTACGTGCATAAATGTTACCTCTCTCTCATTTGTTCCCTAGGTCTTAGACACACTGGCGTTCTCCTCACGAGGCCTTCTAACTCCCAGCCCTTTCCTACCACCCCCCCTTGCCCTTTTCCAGCCTAGCCCTTGCCTGGAGACCTTAGGCTTTGGCTTTATCTGGGAAAGTCCTGGACTCCCCTAGCCCGATTGAAGGCTCTCTGGTCATTGCCGTTTGGTCTATGGTGCATCCTTCATGACAGTTTGCACAGCTGCAGTTTAATAATTATTTGCTTAAACGTCTGCCCTGTAACCTGAGAAATGCTGTTTTGTGCATCCCAGTTACATCTTACTAATACATGTCTGATCACAAGAAGACATCACTTTAAAGTAAAGAAAATATTTAGGGCTGGGAATGTATCATGGTCATAGAGAGTTGGCACGCTCAAGGCCCTGGTTTCGGTTTGATGGTTCATGCCTGTAATATGAGCACTTGGGAGACTGAGGCAGGAGAGTCACCATTTTAAGGTCAGCCTGGGCTATAGCAAGATCTGGTCTCAAAAAGAAAAAAGTCTAGCTTCCATAGTAGTTTGTAAGCTCAGAGTGGTAGGAACCATACCAAGTTATTCATTGTTATATCCGAAAGAGGCCTGGAATGGTGAGTGTATGTCCTGCATAGTATGCAGGTGAAGGGCACACACTTGCCCAGATGCCAGGTCCAATCTGCTTGATAATAGCACCCAATGCCTTTTGTAAGGCACTGGATCCTCCATTTCCCTGCATTTTTCCTTTGAATAGTTTATATTCTAGAAGTCAGTGGATTGTTTCTAACTTGGATGTGAGGACTGAAATTAAGTTTATGTGGTTCTCTCTTCCCCGTAGCTCCTGCAGAAGAATGGTCAGCTGTCCACTGTCAATGGCTTGGCTGAACAAGAAGAGCTCACCCTTCAGGAGGGAGCCCAGAATGGCCAGGAGGAGGAAGTCACTGTCATCGAGGGTAAGCCATCCTCCCCGACTCTGGGCAGGATACCAGAGCTGGGGACAAATAGCTCTTGGAATGAACTGTGGAAAACTCAGTCCTCACATATTTTCTCCAGAAAATACACCATCATTCTGTCTAGTGATGGATGATGTTAACAACAAAAGCAATCAGTTGGGTTCCAAAGGAAGGATTTCTCTTCCTTTGGGTAGCCCCATACTTAGGTCTTGAAGTCAGACATCCTTGTCTAGAACTTACTGGTTTTTTGTGTGTTATGTTTTATTTTTGCTGTACTGAGGATTGAACCCAGACCCTCACCTATGCTGGGCAAGCATTCTACCACTGAGCTACGTGCCCAGCCCAACTTAATGTTATTTTTTTATCGTTGCTTTGCCCAACTTTTCTGGTGTTGAAGGTGAATTTTTTTTTTTTTTAAGAGTAGGAAAAATTTATTGAGAGAAAGCATCTAAGAGAAACAGAAGGGGGACCGGAAAGTGGGTTGCCCGCTCACCCCACTTTTCAAAGATGTTTTATACAGCAGAGCCATGTGGTGAGGTGGGTACAGAGTGGGACAAAACTACTGAAGGTGAATTTTTTTGGAAACACTGAAGTCATGGCTGCTTTGGAAGAATTGGGGTGAGGGTATTCAGTGGTAGAGCACATGAAGCTCTGGGATTCACCCCTGGCAGCACCCCACCCCCCAAAAGAAAACTAATGAAAATAACAATGTAGTATCTCTTACTCTGGAGAGCACCTGCTAAACTTGGCATGGATTTTTCTGGCAGGTACACTTCCAGGTGCACACGGCTCTTTGCCCCAACCATGATGCACTGCACATCTTAGAGCTTTTGAGCCTGCAGGTCTCAGACGTGGTTAGTCAGAGTGTGTCTTTTGCCACAATATCGCTTGTTTGATTTTTAGCTCACATGGGGAGGTATGGGGAACCATGTCTTGGGTTTGGAATCTAGGGCCTTGACCTGTAGGTCTCTTGTGAAAAGTGAAAGTCTACATGTTGAAGAAGAACTTGTCTTCCACTCCAACTTTTCGAGTCATTTATCCCATTGGATCATTCAATGAAGGATTCAGCTGGATGTGGTTGCATGTCTGTAATTCCAGCACTCTGGGAGGCTGAGACAAGAGGATTGCAGGTTTGAGCCCAGCCTGGGCAAGTTAAGAGACTTAGCAAGACCCTGCCTCAACAATAACCACAAAAAGGGATGATTCATAACCACCAGATAGAAAAATGATGGTCTGGCATGCAGTTAATGCTTCTCTGTAATACAAATAAGAAAGACAGATGGGGGGGAGAGCCTGTGAAAGGAGATTGGACATGGGCCTGGTGGGATGAGATTTCTCGAACACGTGGAGCCTGTTTCTCTGCGTTCCATGCCCCTTCAGTGCTGCTGCTCCAGACAAGGAGCAGCTTTGAAGCTGGTGGGAAGACTGATATCCATATAAAGTTAGCCACATACTCAGTCTCACAGATGGTGTATTTGCCTGACCTAGTGTGAGAGTTTGAAATAATACCCACCAAAATAATTGAAAGGGACCCAGTTCACATTCCCAAGCCCAGCGCTTGGTGTCCTTCCTATGTTCCCTTTTGAATCAAACTGGGCAGCAGCAGGTTTTGATTTTACTACAGCCAAGTTGGCGAGCTCTGAGCTTTGGTGAAGATGAAGAGAGCTGGGAAATGGATCCTCCTTTTACATTGCTTCCCATCAGGGGAGCCAAGAAGGTAGGCTGTGGAAGGCAAAGTAAGATAAAAATCAGGCTGGGCACGTAGTGCACACCCATAGCTCCAACACTCAAGAGGCTGAGGCAAGAGGATCATGAATTTAAGGGCATCCTGGCCTACTTGCTATATATATATAAAATGTAGCCTGGGCTATATAAAAAGACATCTGAAAAAAAAAGTTCAGGTCATTTGGTGGTTACCTAATGAATTTTGCAACAGATAAGAGCTGTGTAGAGTTCAGGTGAAGCACCTGAAGTGAAGGGCAGGGTGAAAGCTGGGATAGAGGGAGTCTGGAGTTAGGCACGCAAGATGGGGCGAGGTGGAGCCCTTGGCCTGCATATGCCGGGACCCCCTGGCGGGGGGACAGGATGAGCCGAGGTAAGAGGTGCAGGCGAAGTGAGGAGGAATGCAGCCCGCACTTCGCCCCTTTTGCCCCTCGCCGCTGGGGTCGAGCTCAGGGCCCTGCCACGCTAGGCAAGCAGCTCTACCTGGGAGCTGCGCCGAGCCTTTGCTTCGTGTTCTTTATCTTGCAGCTATACCCTAGGAACTAACTGCAACCCTGGGAGGGAGGCGATATCATTCCTGAGACTCAGACACAGCCCGGCAGATTCCCAAACATGAACTCCGCCACTGTGGCCAGGAGCGTTTTTACCAAACTGTGGAGACGAAGCCCGGACAGAAATGGGGCAGATGAGAGGGCCCTGCAAGCAGAGCGTAGCTCAGACAGTATTTAGGGGACAAGGCGAGAGCCCCAGAATAGGCCGCCAAGGGCAGTTCAGGCTCCCAGTGCTGCTTACCCGGCTCCTTGGAGGTGCAGGAGGGAGACAGGAGGCAGAAGGGCAGAGCCATCTTCATTGTGATCCAGAGAGCCAGGGCCTTCTTTTTCATCTGCGGGATGATTCCCGGAGGGGTGATGTTAGCTATCTTCCCGGTAGTCCACATGTGATTTCTTGTCCATTTCTGCCACGTGGATAAACACTGACTTATAGAAAGTCATTCTGTCCCCATCCTGTGACTAAATTCCATGGTTCTCCCTGAACCTATGCAGGCCTCAGACCACAGAGGCCTCAGGGGTCTGAGCAAACATCATATTCCCCATGCAGGAAGAGTGATAAGTAATTTACACAGTCCTTCAAAAGATCCCGAGATGGCAGGCGTGGTGGCAGATGCCTGTAGCAGTATGCCAGGAGGCTGAGGCAGGAGGATGGCAAATTCAAGCCCATCCTGGGCAACTTATTGACTTATTGAGACCCTGTCTCAAATCCCAGTACTGAAGAAGAAGAAAAAAACAATTCTGAAAAGACCTTGACTTCTAGGAAAGGTTGGATGCTTCCCCGTGAGGTCACTACTAGAGACACAGTAGAATCCTGCTTTTTTTTTGGTACCGGGGATCGAACTCGGGTCCTTGCACTTGCGCAGCAGGCGGTGAGACCACTGAGTTCAATCCCCGGTCCTAGAGTCCCTGCTTTTGGAACCCCTGTCTCCATTGCAGGCAGACCTACTATCCCTTTGGCAACTCGCTGCACATTTTTTTCTTTCTCTATTTTGTTTGCTTTGTGAGTGACAATAGCCTGGCAGTGTAAATGCAGACAGAATCTTCACGTTAAATTATTAAACAGTTTTTTTTCATGCTTTTCTTTTGACGTCAGTGTTGGTCTCTACCACCATCCACTTAAATAAAAACAAACTTGACCTGTCTTGATCCCTGGTGTATTTGGTCCAACAGTGGCATTTGGAGGGTTGGCTGACTGTGGCATTTGGCCTGCGATCAGCATGATAACCAGATGGGGACCAGTCACAGACAGGGGCATTCTTGCTGGAGGCAGGGGACTTTATAGTGAGAGAAGGTATTTATGGGGCTGAGCTTGTAGTTCAGTGGCAAAACACTTGCTCTAGCGTGCTCAAGGCCATGGGTTCAATTCCCAGCACTACTAAAAACAAACAATGATGACAATATTTAGATGAGACTGGTTGTGTTCAGAGTGGCATGGCTATGGTATACAGACAATATTTAGACAAAGCCAAAGATGAAAATAATTATTCCTACCTTGACTAATTTGCTTTTTCTGAAACCAGATATACTGGTTATTCAGAACCAACCCTCTTCCTGTAATGAAAACAGAATTCTCTTTCCTTATAGACTTTCTTTACGTGATAGAGGGAAGAACTGTCTCTTAGATATTTTCTAAGCTGAAGAGTAGGGTCAGGGATATATAGAGTGGGAAAGGGGGCTGATGATTATGGAATTTGGGAGCTATCTTTAAGGGCATGCACCTTCAGATGTGGACACACACATTAAAAATAGGAGAGGCCGAGGATTTAGCTCAGTGGTTTTGCCACCTGCTGCGCAAGCGCAAGGACCAGAGTTCGATCCCTGGTACCAAAAAAAAAAAAGAAAAATCACAGCAGGGCCAGGCATGTAGCTCAGTGGCACCCCGCCTGCCTTGCAAGCGCAAGGTCCTGAGTTTGATCCCTGGTACCAAAAAACAAACAACAACAACAAAACCAGAAATCGCAGCAAATTGTTGAGCTTTGGCGATTCAGTCCCTTTCACCTGTGCATTTGTTAGGTGACTCAGTTCGTTGAAACTGTTTGTATAGAAGTGCAGCTTGGTCTTCTCTCCACCACTGGCAAATTTTGTCATGCCAACCCACTCCAGGCCTTCACAGAGGCTGCACAGACAGCTGCTCTTAGTTTCAGGGCAAATCTGCATCTGCTGAAAAGATTTTTTTTTTTTTTTTTTTAAAAAGGTCTCTGCCCTCCTAATCTGTCGCCAGTTGTCCTGTAGTTTTTGACTTGTATGCTTTTCTAAAACACCTCACAAGAATGACTTTCAAATATATCTTGTTCTAGGGTTAATTTTAGACTTAAACGTTTTGGAAAGTAGAACAACTTAGATTTTTAAAAATAGCAAAACATTTATTGGTATGTTTTAGACATACATAATGATAACACTCCTCCTAGCGAATTTGTACCTATACGTGATACATTTGGCCTCTTTTTTACCATTCCTCCCCTCCCTTTAAGTACCTCCTAAACTTTTAGATTTAAAAAAATTCAATTTAGTATCTCTTCCTAATTTTTTTTTTTTTTTTGGTACCAGGGATCGAACTGAGGTCCTTACGCTTGCCAGGCAGGCGGCGGAACCATTGAGCTAATCCCCAGCCTCTTCCTGATTATTGCTTTTTGAAACAAATGAGGAATATTATTCTTACTAAATCAAAAAACATAAGGCCTGTAGAACTCATTGCTATATACCGGTAGTCAAGTAGATGTCTCAGGT